AGTGTTTCACTAACAGTCGGGTTCCTAATACTGGTTTCCTTAAGGAGTCTGAATAATTATGTGCTGTTACCTATTGCCGCTGCCTTTTCCATCTCTCTTGCTTTCGCTACCCACCATTGTTCACGATCGCTGCGTAGGCTTCTTGTCAGCTTGAGCTTAGTCTGACTCCGCTCTTCGTTATGTTAGGATCCAGACGGAATGAGTTCTCGAGCATCTATCAGTGCGTTAGATGCTGCTGAGATCCAGTGTTGCTCCCTAACCTTGTGGTTTACCTTACTAGCAGATATCACTGCTGTTTCCACAGCTTTTCTGATTTAATTCCATGCTGCCTCGGGGTGGGCATCACATACATGGCTGCCTAACTGGTTTCCTAGTTGTTCCTTAAATATACTCTTAGCTTGACTATCATGAAATAGGACCCTAAGAGGTCTCCGTGCAGCGTCTTTCTTACGTCCAGTAAGGCGCAGGCAAATACGTGCTCGCACTAGAGCATGATCTAGATCTAAGCATGTGCTCCAGAATGAGCGACAGTCCGCTATCGAGCCCCTCCAGCGGTTGATGATAGCTATGTGATCTTTTTGGGTCCAACGTTGGGACGAATTAGGGGGTCGCCATGTCAAAAGATGTTTTTCCTTATGCTTAAATATAGTATTTGCAAGAAACGGGCGGTTATCTGAGCATAGCTGCAATAGACGGTCGCCATTATCTGTTCTTTGAGCCACGACACTATAAGATCCACTCAGGTGTCCTTCCTCTTCTCCTAGTTTACCTACTTGAGCATTAAAGTCACCGGCCGCTATCACTACATTAGAACGCCTAGTTTTTCGGAGGAGGTCGAAAAGCTTTCTGTAAAACTCATCTTTTACATCATCTGAGCTGCAGTCAGTGGAAGAGTAGGCAGAGACGGCGGAGAGGCAACGACAAGTGTCGCTATCTTTCCGGATCCTTACTGTTCTGTTCAGTAGGACAGCGCACAAACGGCTGTCTACTGGGATCCACTCTAAGAGAGCTAGTTCTGCTCTAGGACTCAATGCTATACCTACGCCGGCGAGGCCACGGGAAGCGGAATCAGGGCTTCCAGATACACGAAGCGTAAATCGAGTCGGTTCTTTATTTTGGCAGGGTTAGGTCAAATGAATGACGCTACTCGGGTCTTGTATGAGCGTTTCGGAGACGCAGCACACATCGATGGCGTGAGATTCTAAAGTCCTAGCTAAGGAAGCCTATTGTCCTGTTTGGCACAGTGTTCGGACGTTAAAAGCTCCCACATGTAGTTTAGAGCGTGGTTTTAGGGGACCAGGAATAGCGTTCCACGTACTCGAATCGTTTGCCCTAGAGGTGAGAAGTGAAAACAAGACGTGAGAAGGGTTAGTCGGGGACATAAGAGTGGTACTAGGAGGTGTAGGAAGGATTTGAATGTGACCGACTTGGCCTCGCGTGCTGTTACGGGTATGAAAGGTGGTGTCTCTTCCCGGATGCTCATACGGTGGAAGGGTATTTCTTGAGGAACCTTAAAAAGAAGTTGGATTAATGTCGACCTTAAAGACCTGGGAGCGTGACCGCAGAACCCAGTGGACAACTGCTTGAGGCCGATCGCGCACGGTCTTTTTGTGGAAGATTTTTGACGTGTTAGCTCCGTTCTTCAAAGGACCTTACCGCCGGAGACGTAAATCCGTGAGATAAGGTGAGGTGTGACATTTTTAGAGTCGACCCTTTCTCACCCTTCCTTCCTTGTGAGAAGGCAGCATCGTTGCAGATGCCGGTTGTCCGAGGGAAACACCTTACTGCTGTCACACTCCTCTAAAGTCAGCAATACGACTTCGCCCTCAGACCTTGAGTTGCTGCCTATGTCTACCTCTTTACATCTCATAGAAATGAGTGAGTTTTTGTCTCGTATTGATTGTTGGTCTGTTGTTAATCGTCTCATACTTAATCCGTCTGAATGTCAAGCTGTTAACATTAGCATGAGACATGAACGGCATCTAAACTAAATTTTGGGATCCCATAATACCTGTGTCATTGGAGACTCTATGGTAAACACAGTGTCGAAGGTCAATTATCTGCGTGTTACCTTTTCCTTTGATCTCTCTTGGTTTTCTCACGTTTTACTGTTATCGAAGAAAGGTTTCCATATGACTTACTACATTAACAGGCTGCATGCTTTTGGGATTACTCGTCATTTACTCTTACAATTTGTCAATTCCTGCATAGTACCTATTATTCTTTAATGTTCTCCATTATTTTTTCCCGGGCTTTTGAGAAAAGACTGCTTTATTGCGGAGTGTGATGAAGGCAGTTAGCAAGGTGTGTGGTGAATCTTCCGAGGTCATAATTATTATGGTTGTGGATAGACATCTTAAGTCATGCAAAATCCTGGCAGGTGTCATTTTATCAGATACTAACCATCCCCTTCACTCATATCTTTCTCCTTATATATCTTCTGGTAGAATGAGACATAATTACATTAAAATCCATGCAGGCAAGCAAAAGTATAAGATTGCTATAATACTCTGTGACGAATAGGTTGTTAGAATTAACCCGGTCAATAACCTGCATTCGTAACCTGTCTCTAATTTGGAAAGTTGTGTAGCTTTTCAGATTTTTTTTGCTTTTTTCCTTTCTTCTTTTTTTCTTTCTATTGTAAAGGAAACTTGTTGAAATACCTTGTGCTGAGAATTATATATTGTACTAAAATATGATATTGAATAAAGCCCTTAATAATAATAATAATAAATTCATGGGATTCAGGTTTGTTGAATACATTTACCTTAAGGATAGCTGTGCTTATGATGGTAAAGGAATCTACTGAATAAATACTTTTGTAAGCCTATGACATTACTCCTGACCTTATCAATCTAACTGGACACGCCGAAGGTCTTTGGTTAAACGGTCGTCCTAATCCACGTTTGCTTACTCTATGTCTTATATCTCTTGCGATTATTAGTTAGCTTAGATTACTTACGATTCAATGCACTGAAAATCATTTTTTCATGACTTCCGCGTTGATCTGGTCTAGAATTGTTGTATAGAAAAAGGTTTGGACAAAAGATGCGCTTTAAATACTTTCAAGAATTGGACTTTACCAGAACAAACTCAGCCACTTGGCACGGGAATGCTTTATTACTATTCCATGGATGGAATGAACTGGAGTTGGTCGAGTGGCATGGCTCGGCCATGCAGGCGTGGTCTCTGCTGAATGTTACCTTATATCTTCTGTTCATATTAAATATATTGTTCTTTCTCTAGCCTAACCTTGTTCTACATCATGTATTGGTAATTGATACGATACAGTGAGTTGGTGTAGTCGATGGTGTGACTTCCACGTAAGATCTTATAGATTAGGCAGTTATATCATGACAAATCTACATATTTAGGATTAGGTCTATTATTAGAGCAGTACTAATATCATAGTAGACCATAATTCTACATAACCATTTGTTTTTGTATTGAATATATTACCCTCTACTCAACTCAAAATGTGTTCAGCAGAAGTGTTAGACGTCAGATTTTTAATCGTCAGGGTAAGGCGAATCGGCATGAACTATGATGTGACACTCAAGTAAGATGTCATAGATTAGTGATTTATAGTGAAGAATAAGTACGATTGGTCGTCGAGCGTGGACAAACGGCCATAGCCTATGAACTATTGAAGATGTGATTTTCGTTTCCATTATTGATCTGTACTCTAGACTCAGTGTGTGAGACTGCTTGTAACTGAATTGAATGGAATATTCTTTAGTGTGAATCTGCCACTATTTTGGATCGCGAATCCTGGTTCTGATATAACGTGATTTGTCTTATTGATGCATTAACGTAATATACCTGTAGAGATGAAAAATGTTGTAAGCCGTCCATTATATCAATTAGGCAGTCATATGATTACATATCTACAATTTTGGGATTGAGTCTATTATTATTGTGGCAAAGATAAATTTACTAACATCGAAAAGGATCATAATTCTACCTTAGTGAGACCAACCAGAAATGCGTCTTGTCGTTAATTCACATATCCATTTCAAATTTATCGGTTGGTTCCTACCTGTGTTAACCCATTTTTCTATTAGTCTGTTGATAAATGCTCATGTGTATTATCGTATTGCAATACTGATTATTACTCAGTTTATTATATTGATCGATACTATAACTGGTTAACCATACTTTTGTCTAGTTGTAGTGACCTACTTTTATCAAGAGAACGCGATTGGTTTAATGGAAACAATTATTATTATAACCAATTGTACCAGTGGTTGTTTTGCTATACTTGATTGTTTAACTCTACTAAAAGATACATTATCTTTCATTATCCTCCCGCCGATTGTGACCTTGTACGCTCTTACGTTCGCCCACTGATTCCACTTGTATTCCTTGGCACGATCTCGATATTTTCTCGGTACCACTAGATCGCCAACGAATATATATCGGTACAACCTATAACCACCTGATTTCTGGTACGCAACCTCCTTGTAGTTCTGTTCGTAGTCAAGCGTGACTCGACACTACAAGCTAACATGGTTCGTTAAAAAACTCTAGTAGTATTGACATGTCTTAGTGAAAAGGGGTTTGTTAAAACATCAAAAACTAGCAAACATGTCTCTTAATCGGCGTTAGTCACACTGCGTAGCAATGTCAACAAGGACTGTATAATTATGTGGGTCTAGTTCTCCTATTACTTTCTCACTTGAGACCTCAGTCTATTGAAAAATATGGACTGTCTCCGAAT